ATTCAAACACAAAGTCTAAAACTGCCTCTGATAAAGCTGCTGGAACGTTTTTCGAGAGAACGACATGCTCGTCCAAATAGAACTAATGTCTCCTTTATTGTGGTCCGGCTCCTTTTGGAAGCTGGAGGTGCGTGGGTCTCTGCTCATTGTCAGTCACAAGTTCACAGTGGTGTGGTGAGAATGAAACTTTCGACATCGGGGTCATTTGAATCCACAGCACGAGCATACCATTGGGCGCTCTAGGGGTTTCCTCGCATGGAATCCGCGCGGAGTCCGCGTGTGCTTTGCCCGGGGAGTACAGTATGTGGGAAGAGGCGAGCAGTTCCCAGAGCTTTTATCGGAACGTCTCATGAGACTGTCGCGAACGTGGAGTCAGAATTCCGTTAATGATCCGAAAGCTGTTTTATGGACTCGAGCCGTTTCAGGACAACCACTGATTGCTCAGTTTTGACGTTTCGTCTCCTGTGGCGAAATCGTACTATTCTCCGAAACTCCGGACGGAGCATGCCGAATTTCTGTGAATCAGGAGTTCACGTCGAGAATGAACGGATTCGGGCAGGCTTGAATGCCTGCAGAGCACCCGGGTGAGACCAGATCGGATCGGCGGCTTCTTCGGCGGCAGCCGATCCAAACGATGCTTGTCATCTCTGAGTCTGTCGGCTGAGCTGAACTGAAGGCTGAGCTCGGCAGGAGAAGAGTTCGGTTAATAGCTGACCGAGACCCGACCCAAACTCCAATCCGGACACGGGATTTCCTCACCTTGGGAGTTTGTATAGTGGACTTCTTTTACAGGGAGCTTTTGTTTACTGAGCGATGCGGCGCATTCTTAGACAGCCCTTATCTGATGGGGATACTTGGATGCTGTGGCTTTCATCTTCTTGTCTGGAGCAGGGAAGCTCAGTTGAGAAAGTCCCTACATCGGAAACGATGCTCGACGCTCGATCAATACAGTCGGATCGGAGGTCCGGACGATCTTAAGTTAAGAGGGGCGAGTCTCTGAGCTGCTCCGACAAACCGCTACTACATCTGACAGAAAGTCCGGTATGATCGCACCAGCTCCTGGCTTACCTTCAGCAGTGACCGCCTCGCCCATAATTGATACTGTATCTTGGCTCCTTCGGCGAAAGTTTGCTTTGAGATCCTTCGTAAAGAGAAAAACCGTGAGACCTTGGCTTCCGTAATCGTTCTCCCGGGCATAGTCGATGACCACTAGATATCGCGAGCCCCAAGTACATACTTGACACGATATTTTCTGAACCAGTCTCAGCGACGGGAAATCTCCGACTCGTTATGAGAGCCGATAATGTGGTGGATTTCTGGTCAGATTTTTCAGTTTTGAAATCGATCAAGAATTATTGGGAACCAGAGACTTTGGTCCGCTATCGACCGGGCCCACAAACCGCTCGACGCGGCCATCCTCGCGAGACCATTAGGTTCGATGATTCCTCAATCCTGGAGAAGCTCATCGTTACTCGAGGGCATCGCCGCGGTCACTACCGACTGTGATGACATTTTATGTTCGGTATGCTCGCCAGTTTCGCGGAGTTTGACCGTGTAACCCGAGGAATAGGCAAGAAAACTGTCGGAAACACTTGTCAAAACAAGCATCTTCATCGAGATGCCGTGTTATCACTCATAGAGGCCTTATGCAGCTCTCGAGGAAATGATCATGATTCATTTGAACGACTCGATCAGGCCTGCGATTTCGATCAATGAGAGTTCAGTCAAGCTGTCCACTATATCTGAGGCAATCCGTCCCCCCCAGGCGACTCGTATGAATGGTCAAAATTTGGCGCGCTTCCGCTGTTGTTACTCACGAGCGCTGAACAGCTGGGAACAGAGTCAGTCAGCTTGAAAGCGACTAGCGCACTCGTCGGCTCACTGTCAACATCGAAATGGAATCATCAAGTGTGTGACAGCACGGGGGTTATTCTGGGAGAATTCAGTTGCTGGTTGGGGCGGTGAATTTATGCCCCCTCATGATCCGAGCTCTAGAGCTACTATGTCGTTCGCTCTGATAAAATCTTCGAACAAACGTCGGGGTGAGTTCTTTTCTGATAGCTGAAGACATACGTGAACTTGTTGATCGCTCTCCCTTATTCGTTCTCAAATTCACGAGAAGTGGTGGTTTAAGTGGGTTAGCTCAGAAGTTAGCGAGACCTCTCGAGAGAATCAGTCCACGATTCCGGTGCGCGGTGCAGAGGATCTTCCCGACATTCTGTGTATCTACCTCTACCGGGATGTTCCTCGGAAACAGACACTGGGATTCGGATGGAGCGAGCGCCTATGTATCACTTGAGGGATTTATTGAAATAATTCAGAGGAGCAGTCAAATACAGCAAAAGCGAACAGATGGTATCATAGCGTCCGCGCCGGAACTTTTTCCGGAGCGCCTCGTTCCTTGCGAATACTATCCTGTCTGTGATATGTAACTCTCGAAGTCTAGCAAGCCTTCTACTGCCTCGCAGCGGATTCGCCGAGTGGGAATGGATTGCGGACGAACGGAGCACGGAATTGCAATGGAGAGCTCTACAAAGTCCCCGATAGAAACTGCCTTAAGATTCTGGATGGTTGATCTTCTGTTTGAAGCCAAAACTCCTCAAGTTTCTTCTGGTGAAAGTCACGCCGCTCCCCCTGTGAACTCCCTACGGCACCCTGAGCCCAAGCCAGCGTTGCGAAGGCCTACACGGTGAAGAACGATCTCCAGAGATTGGAGAGGGTGCGTCGCGACTCGCGAGATCTCTCCGCTCGCGGGCCATATTCTCTGACAAGAAGCCGCCCAAGAGCTTGCGTTATCATTATTATAGACCATCGAAGCACATCGACGATCAATTTGGTGCTCCTCGCAGATAGAGGCCATTTGTCTGAGGAATGACACTGTCTTCTTCCATGAAATTTTCGTTCCCCAACGGCTGATCAAGCGCAAGGAAATATTAAGGCAACCATTGTGAAATGATGCCTCAGCACTCGGAATGCATTATGAAGGGATCGCCTCCTTTAACACGAAATTGCGTGAGGGAGAGCACATGGTAAATACCAGATGATCTGTCTGGCTTTGACGCAATCGAGAGAATAAGGTGTATAGAGGGAAACGCTAGAGAATCGGAGGTACCTGAACATGACAGCAGGCCATTCGTCTCTCCAATGCGTGATCCCGCCACGTGACCTGATAGGAAGCCATTTTGTTTTGGAGTAAAATGATACGATATGAACCACGCATCTTCAGATGTTCGAATAATTCCGCTTCTCTCCGAATGAGAGAATGCTTCCCGAGACAGAACATTAAATTCAGCGGAAAGACCGGAGTACCCTGCTCAACGGGATCCCGAGCTCAAGCGCATCGCCCCGGATCCCGGATTTTCAGGAGCGCCCGCTCTGACGAGCTCCCAGAATGGGGAAATGGGCCAGTGGCTACATTCCTGGTCCGATTCGAGGGCTATCCTCCCAGCACTTCGTGAGCCGGAGCGACTCCGTCCCAGGCGAAACGAGAGCATGGGCGACTAAGCTTACTCGGGTGACACCATCGCAGAGCTAGAGTATATTATTATTCACCGTGCTAAACAGGACGACCTGTCGAATCCAATGTTTGTTATCATCTGAGTCGAACTCTTATCATCCTTCGCGAGCGCTCTTTCGAGTGCCGAAACCGCCATTGGAAGTTATATATACATATGTACTCCGTTCTTTCGCTATCGTGTTTTTCCTAGGGAGACAGATGATTCAATTTCGAGCGAGGAAAACGTTGAGCGGAATGACTTTCCACACTCGTAACGGAAGAATACTACCTAATCCCCGGCGATGGAAATGATGTCTCGGGCAGTGATTACGATTATTCGAGTTCTCAAGGGCGGCTTCGGGTGGACAGCGCCCCGAACCCCGTTCAGAGCAGAGGGTTGGAGCTCCCTGCACTCTCGGCCGCTCAGGAGATCTCGCGAAGGTCTCGATGTAATTCTGGCTCGAGACTGGAAGTTTGAAAAATAATTTCCAATATTCTACGAAAAGAGTGCTTTTCATTACAATGATGATCCCTAATCTGATCGCTGCGATCTCGGACGACAAAATGCTGGCAGGAGGACACGTCCGCCCGCAAAACAAAGTTCGATTTTTCTACTCTCTGCGGTCAACCATCATAATGGAACGATTGTCGAACCATCATATGTTTCGACAGAGCTTTGATGGACCTTGATACCGGACCCGTAGGAGACTGAAAACGATTCGCTTTTTCCAAGGGCGTTTTTCATGCATGGCGAGGTTTTCCAGCCGACGTCTCGACAGCCCACGCCGTTCTCGGTTGGCGCGCCAAGCGTGAAGAATTTTTCAGGCCCGTCGAATATTTCCGCATCATTAAACGATCTCAATCGAAAGAAGAAGTTGGAAAAATACAAATTGTCAGACTCTCTCAGTCCGAACGATTCTCCGCGAAGTACCTCGGACGCTGTGGTTGTGAGACGATTCTTCCATGCGGACAGTCACGCAACGCCGAGGCACCTAAGTGATCTCTTGTAGGCAGAGGGAAGTTTATTTTAGACGCTCGCCGTGGCCGATGAACTCGGAATAGAATCCTTGTCGGAGGCAACCGAGCATTCCATGTGGGATTGACATTCGTCACCAGGAACACAACTGCTCCAAATCCTATATATTCGATCGTATCTTCCGTATCTAATCGCTCGTATAAAACGATCTTCTGGCGCGTTGTATTGGCGGAACGAACTCCTTCGAACCGCTTCTCCCCCTACGGTTGTTTCAGGGAGATGTCGCTTTCAGATTTAAAATTCCCGAATTCTCGTCATTGCGGCGATTGAGAGTAGGAATTCCATTCACTCCTCCCCCCCCCCCCCGCGGCCGCCTCAATGGGGATCAATCCGGTTTGCCTGCACCCCCTGGTGCGGCTCTCTTCGCGAGAATTCGAAAAGTTGCGGTTGTCAGAGGATGAGCTAATCGCTGGCTGGAGGGCAGACGCTCTGTGATTTCCCTTAGCGATACATAATCTAGGCGGTTTTATCTTTCCTAATCCTGCGAATCGTCCACATCTAGATCTGTCAAAGGGTTCAGTGCCGTCAAAGACTCCGCACTGAACAGCATTTCTGATTTTTGGTAACGGAATATGCCTGTGTTCCCTCGATATGTCGTTAATCCAGGTAAAGACTATGTCTACAGTGTGCATGAGATTTCGATACCCCTCGTGTTCTTCTCCGCATCCCTCGATTTCTCGCCTCTGATCGCAATAAGCTCAAATATATGCAGTTCCGGGTGAACTCGATGATGGAACTTCATGGATGCGTCCGATGCGCAATCTGGAATCGAGGCGGAACACCATGACCGAAAGAGAGAAAGGGTGAGCGTCAACCATGAGCCGTCGCTCAGGACGATGTCTCAGATTGTCAAAGTCAGAAGCTGGAGAGAGTCATCCGATTCTCTCTTCGAACGGAATCGCCACGATCGGCGACGGATCCGATCCTCGGCGGTCTCTATACTAGTTTCCGACTAGCTGACGATTGACTCGCCGGGGACAGCTGCGTGATCGTCCGAAACTGTGTTTTTCTCGCGAAAATGAGACGCTCGGCGAGCGATATGAGTGAAAGCCAAATACTGCGATACTTAGTGCAACGTAAGTTCAGTTTACTCCCGTCGTCAACTATGTGAGATAAACTCAGGAAGAAGTCGCTCCAGCTCCAATCCGAAAGCGTAATTCGATTCGAGACTCTCGTGGGTTCCAAGTCGACCGACACATCAAGATGGCGCCGTCTCTTCTTTTTTTGATAGTGATTTGCGAGTTCTAAGCGATACTGCATCCATGAGGCGTCCAGCTGGACCCTTCGCATCGGTTTCCGCCGCATTCAGAGCGGTCTAGTGTCCTCGCGTACACCTGGAGGTATACGCCGCAGCTGGTACGCGACTGTTATGAAACTAGCCTCGAGGGCCTTGCATCAGGACAGACATTATGGTGCTCGCTATCCAGTATCACGTCAAAGCCTTGGAGCTGACGACATCTTCTTTGTTTTCCTTCACTGCGACGTACCGCGGTAACACAGCCGGCTGATCAAAGACCTTATTTTGACGGCATTATGGCGAAGTCTTTGCCGGACATCGCTCGCGGGGAAATCCGCATCTTCCGCGTCGATTTGACTAGGTCTCCAAAATAGCTTGACTTTCTCCCCCTATTGTCTCTGCCAGACTGTCCGCTAGAACTAATCTGTGCTTTACGGAGCTGTTTACAGCTCCGTTTCGATTCGACCTTCCGAAACTATGTGACTGCTCTCATTGATAGGTGTCACATGATGCGCGAGTAGAAATTCTTCTCAGAGTTCTTCTCAGAGTTCTTCACTGATCGTTCGCAGCGAGCTAGGGAACTTCGCTGCGGCTTCCCAGCAGAGCGAATCATCTCAGACGCTCGCTCCGAAGGCACTCAGCCCTGAGCGCGTTCAGGTCGGAGAAAGTTTCCGATGATACTTAGGTGCTCCCGCATGTGTTTCGGCATGGTCAGACGGTAGAACTTGCGCTCAGCTGACTTCTCGTTTTCCGGAGCGCTGTTCGGAATCACGAGCGACGTCTGAGAGACTATTCCGTTCGCTTCGCATTCCTCTGAATGACACCATGTCTCTGTGGTGGAATCGGTCCCGGATACATAAATGCGTGGGTCGAGTTTTCCGAAGAGGAGCGAGGATAGCCGGTAGTTCGCCACGTGAGGCTCTGTACTTGTCCTTCGGGTCGATTGCACAAAATTCCTAAGAGACGCTCTCGGACGAGGCCTCGTACCGGGCATTCGGTGAAGATCACTGCGCCAGCCGGAACCGACTCTCCAGCAGTCGACCATCGATTCTCGTCCGCGCGGTCTTGTCACCGTCATATGTTAGTCGACCCGCAACGTGTTCGTGATACCGAGAACTCTTCAAACAATTGAAACTGTGGTCAGCGTGAAAATGAGCGACAGAGCGTGTCGTTTGGAGAAGTGATCTCCGGAACAATCAGGAATGTGTTATACGATTCGCTCGTTGGCTCCTGACGCCGCCAGCATCCATGACTGCATTCCAGCAAGACCCAGTTGATACTCTTTGAGATCGCGGACACAGAATTTTCGGGATGATCCACAATCTGGGGAACCGTCTCGAAGACTCGTGCAGAGCAAAGCATGCAAGACCGACGCTGTCGACGAGAGATTGCTCCGGAAAGAAACACCTGTTTGGCGCGAACCGTGCGGTACGCCTAATCTCGTCAGCTGATCGAGCGCAGGGCCGTTCCGTTGTGTGGTCTTGGTTCTCTTCGACTACCGTCGCGTCGTGACGGCCCCTATGTTGTACACAAAGCGACAGTCGTTTGAGGGAGTTTTGTCTCCAGATATCTTTCAATGAAGCGGTGAAACGATCGCGGTCCGGCTAATAGAGCCGCGGACTTGAAATCGTCCTCGGAACAACCGTAAGCTCGCTTCAGATGCTCCACGAGGAGCATTTTCCACCCGATCGATTTCGGCGCTGAAACCGCAGCTGCGTCGACCTACAGAGCTCCGTCGACTTCTTTTCGGCAGAATGTCTGCGTCGACATTCCGACACCGCTTGAGCGGCGAGCGCGGCGGCGTTAGCGTAACGCCAAAGAAATAGGACTAGAGATGGCTGTGAGTCTTTGTACTGTGAAGGGCAGGGCGTTCTTGATTACCCGTGGATCCGCGCTAGATCGCGTTTGATGGAGTAGGGCAACATTTCGTAAGATCTTCTCGAAAGCTTGCGCTCAATGTTGTTTTAAGATCATCCGTGTTCGGGGAATAATTGGATGATACACTCCTCGCTCAGAGGATACCGGAACGAGACCGAGAGGTCTGCAGACTACAACACTAGTTCCAGGCGCCCGAAGCCCACCGACGCATCCGTTTTCCTCCCTCTAAGGCAGTGTGGTGTTCAGACCTTCTTCCCTCCGCGGGTCGGTCATCGCAGATCTCTCTTTCGGATTTAGGACTCTCGAAGTCGATGAGTAACCTCCGCGGCCCCCAACCACAACCCGTCGGCCCGGTGAAGGAGATGTGCGATATCTGGTTTGTTATACCTCGTTTTTCATCGACTCCCAGCATGTGCGACGTCGAAATATTCACCTCGCGTGAACCATGGATCAGCATCATTCATAAAGCCAGGAATTTGGTGCACCGAAGGTTGAGGATATTCACGGCATTTCCGGGTGATTACCCATCCCGAGTCCCAGGGGCCGGGGAACGTCGCGAACTTTCGGGAGAAATGCCGCGCCAGATTCCAATCCTTAATCATCCCCATTGAAGAAAAAGCTGCTTGGGGTCCAAGTGTCTGTTCCTGATGTCATGTCGGGCGCCACGGCAGCGGCCACATGTCGGCAACACTAAGAAAGGCGGCGATGGAGATTGTTCATGACGAGTACCCGAATACAACCGCCGTAGAGCTGTATTCAGCAACGTTTGTTTGCGTCAGGGTCACCGTCTGGTCGAATTGTTGACGCAAAGCCTTATCTCGCCGTGCTTATCATCATCGAGATAATGCACTCGTTCTACGATAGCGATTCATAGACGGCCGAGGAGAGAGCGGCGTATGATCACGGACCCGGTTCATTGCGAGCGCGACGCCCGGCCGCCCCCCTCCTCTTGCGATATGTCCACTCCGGGAAATCGAGATCGCTCCGAAACCCACCGGTCGCTCACAAGCGCCACCGCATCGCATCGTTGAGCCTTCACACTCCTTCCCCCTAATCTGACCGCATCGATTCGGGAAAATTCGGAGTCCCGCCTCAAATGCCTAATTCTATCATTTCGATAAGCAGCTCTCGATAGCTTTATCTGACCGTGATGAACTATTATTGGAATGTCGGACTACCTTCCAACCTGACGTCGACAATTTCCATCGATGAGAGCCTTGAGCCGAACGTGCTGATTGTCCTGACAGTCAATATGACGAACAGATGACATCTGATTAGCTTTTAATTCGAGAATAATACGTGCGGTCGCTCATTCGAGTCGAGAGCTCCGATTGGAATCCTGGAGCTAGCGATCGCGCGGAATCCTCGATGCGAAAAAGGCTCCCATGGATCTTTGAATGGAGCTGCGGATCTCATCCGTGCTTGTAAGCCGGACAGATTTCAAAGTGAAATTCAATTCTTTCGCCCCTTTTTTGGAAAGAGGAAGTGGAGCTCCGGAGAAGATACTGGCAAAGGAAGAGCCGAACGAGTTCGTCTAGATATGGGCAAGCGTGCGCGATTGTCTGCGTGCGAGTGTGTGTCTGTTTAATCAAATATAATTTCGCATTCGACGACCTTTACTCTGTGGATTGTGAAAGGTCCGGTATAATCCGGCCGCTTGTTTCGGTAGTTCCTCGCGGTGCAATCGCTGACGTCGGAGCCGACCGACGCTGCTCTCGTGTACGGTCTCTTGCCATGTGAGAAAGTAGAGAGGGAAAGGATACCCGCTCGGTACAAATTCGACGTCGTGCAACACATTCGACAGTTGTGGTTCGAAAGCTAACAGGTTCCCGACTGTCTGGAGCGATTGGCTGAGTGAAGTTTTGTGAAGTTTACTAGCGTTCCGGCGCCATGTGCATCTTTGCAAGCTACGCAAAAAGTAGGCAAACAAACGTTTGTTTTTGTTTAGTCGCTAATTGACGTGTGCGTCCTGGAGGGACTTATCTTCGCGTTGGTTCCATCTGCTCCATCGAAAAATCTCAGCTGAAACTCCCTCCGGATTCACAAGATCATAGCCCGAGTCTGAATCTCTCCTCGGATACCGAAATCGGTTCGTCATCCGTTCCTCCGTCAGTCCGTCTGTCCTTCGGCGTTTTGTGCCTCGATATCTCGATCGCGTCGTTCGTCAACAAAAGTCGCATGCTCAACTCGGTTTCCTCTGTTATTCCTCGCCGGTGACTCGGGTGGTGGGGATCAGTGTACCGAGATCCTCTGGTTTCTAGAACAGTTTCACTCTACGGACGGATTTGGACTTTCTCGAGCCTGTGGTTGCCCCTTGTTCGCATCGTATGCGTTGAGAGATGGAGTCGTTCGCTGTCAGGTACTTCGCGTGAGGGAAACTTGGATGAGAATGTTCGAACGCTTCCTTTCAGGCCGGGACCGTCGCAAGAGAATGCGGGCGGAGTCTACGGGGCATTTCCTGGCGCAAGAATTTTCGCGTTTCTCGAGCAATTCGCTAAAGCTCCGAAGGCTGTACAACGATACGAGGAGAGCAATAGGAGAAGTTATCAGAGGTGGATACTTTAACGGGGGTGAGTAGGAAAGACCACGGGCTCCGTCGACGTTGCCTCACAGGACACCCTCGCACGTCATCCATCGATTTCGCTTCAGTGTGCATCAGCCCGAAAAATATCACGACTTAAGTATGGTCCGAACTTTCCAGATCAGCTCAGCCACCTGCATCCGAAACCGGAACAGAAAGAGATCATGAGTCGAGCTACGATGGGTGGAGTCGCCATCCTCGTCTTCGGGCGAAGCTGTTCCGCGAAAGCCGCTGTCGTGAACGAGCTCTTCGGCTCGTCGATCCTGCCCGTTGGCGTCGATCAATGTCCCGACGAGCTGTGGCGGATGGTTACGTTTCAGAAAGGTGACCAGACGGAAATAAGTCTCTCGGTTCCTGATTCCACCTACGATCTCATGGAAGATCTGGCCTCGTACGATGAAGGATGGCAAACCATACCGAGAGCCGACCTCACCGTCGACGGTACGTTCATCGCTCTTGTCCCTCTGCTCGAATCACCGTCAACGGAGAAGGCGTGGACGACCTCGGCAGTCCTGCAGCGATTTCCATTGTCGCGCAGGAAGAGCGGGAATTTCGATGTCCTGAGGTTTCTCTCCCCCTTGCAGGATGCGAGGATTCTGCGAGACGTTCCGCGATCCTCGAAGTCAAATTCCGCAATTCTCTTCTCCGGAATGAGGTCCAGCTGATCGTTTCACCTTCAGAAGATTCCGTCGAGCGCACTTTCAGTCGAGCGGCGTTGAATGGTCTCCGTATGCCGACCATTGTCATTTACGCAGTTCGAGGTGAAACTCTGTCCTCCGAAGAAGAAGACGAACTCCGACAGCTCAAAGCCAGAGTGGGTTCTGAGAGCGTGTTCTTCGTCGGGCCGAAAGCCGCTTGTATGTGCGATCTCACCGAGTCCGAGCAACACGCCCGGACCCAGAGGAACCGCTCGGAGCTCTTCGGACAGCTTCAAAACTTGGGTTTCGTTTTGGACAGACGGAATAGCGAGGGATCTTCTTCCATGTTGGCCGATTCCGTCGAAACAATCAGGCAGAACGGTCAGAACGGTGGATCGAAACGCCGGAGCTCGAGGTAAATCTTGGGCTTTTAGATTCATGGTGGAACGCGCGTTCTTTCGGAGCAGAGGTCAATGATGGTCGAGCATGAGGAGTTCAAGCTCACTTACCTAGTTTCGATTTCCAGCATAGTCCTCTTCGTGCGGCGAGTACTGCAGTGGATGGTGGTCGAAGGTGCGAACACTTTGAACGAGGTGCAATCGACGGTTTTGAATATGTTCATCCTGAGCGCCTTCGAATTCATCAGAGATCGAAACATAACGCCCATGAGAATCGACTACGCGAGAGAGAAAGAAGCTGAACTCTACAAAAAACTTCTCGAAGTTGCCAAAACCAACCAAGTAGGTTCCCGTTGATTCCTTATGTTAATTCCTCGATCTTTCCAAATCATGATCGATCGAGCGAAGTTTGCAGCATTTCGGATGAAATCGACTGGCGAGACTCGTTGCTCAAGGGGATCGCGTTATTTTCAGGAAGAAGTCAGGATTCTCATAAACCAGACGCTTTCTGATCTTATGGACGAAATCCTCGAGAAATGCGCAAACTTCGATTTCGTCTCAATCCCTCCGGAAGAAATTGAAGCGGCCTCGCCTGCGACAAGAGAAAAGTGTGCGACCCAAGTTCAGGTGAGGAACTCGTTCACTCCGGTCATCCCCGGATGGGCTCGACGAGAATGACGCCAGCCTTAGCGTGGCCCGCTTCCTTGATTCGGAACTTTCCTCTGCAGGACTTCGTCTTGAACCTTCTGAGCTCTGCGGTGGCTGACAAGCTCTTCAGCTCAATGCCCTTGCTGAAAGACAGCTTCGTCGGTACCCTGGAGAGATGTCTCACGACCTTGGAGCAAACATGCCATTCGAATAATTCCAATGACGCAAATCACACGGTACAAGCCAGTCACGCCCTGCGGCAGATCCTGAACGCCGCGTATCAGGTACTGAGGACCTGCTAGAATGTCGATTATTCTCGAAAGACACAGGATAATCTACAGCAGACACAGCATCAGGGGAGACGTCGTCTGAAGCAATTACGGGACGATAAAGCTTGCTTTCTCGCTCTCAGCTGGAAGTCACTGCCAGGACGTCAAGCTCCATTCTCTGGATGCTTCTAGAGAAGATGCGGCGCATGTTCAAAGATCTCCCGGGCAACGGATCGCCCGCGATCGATCCCGCTTGGAAACGGCGAGTGGCGATTGACCTCTTGAAGTCACTTTCAGACGCGCGTCTGGCGAAATGCATTTGCGCACAATTCAAAGAAAAGTGAGTTAGGGAGTGAGTGAGTTAGTCAGTGAGAGATGTCAGATGAAGCTTGAGAGAGCCCGAGCCAATATGAATGTGTCCTAGATATTCCCTGAGTAGCTTTAACGGGAATCACGTATTCGCAGATTGGATAGCAGTCACGAGAGATTCGTTGCCGCTATGGTCAAGTTGAAAGCCGACCACGATGGCCGTATCGATCATATCAAGAACGAGAAAGATCGAATTCGGAAAACTCTCGCTCCTAGCATCGCGAGGTGAGTTCAGTGAATCATTGAGCAGCCACCAGATGATTATTATCGATAAGCCGCCTTCATGTCATTATCTATACACGATCGGGACGGCGAGCTGTCGAATACAAGATAAGCTTGTTTCCAGGTACTCCTTGGAGGCGGTTTCGCTTCGGGATGTGATCATGTACGGTATGCCAACGCTTGGCAAAGAGATCGGACGGGGTCAGTACGGTGTGGTTTATTCCTGTGAATCCTGGGGAATGCGGGGTCCCCTAGCCATCAAAAGCGTCGTTCCCCCCGACGACAAGCATTGGAACGATTTGGCAATGGAATTCTTCTATACGCGCTCGTTGCCCCCCCACGAAAGGTACTGCCAACACCCGTCGTATGAGTGTTCACCTTTGATCGCGCCTGCGGGTTGACCCGTCTCCGCAGGATTCCTGTACCATCGATCAATGCCCTGAATCCTAAAGTCTGGATATTCCAGGCTCGTGCCCTTGCGAGGCTCTGTGATCGACTACAACTACGGTCAAGGGACCCCGGCCGTATTCCTCATCATGGACAGACTCAGCCTAGATCTCCACACAGCTCTTCATCATGAGCTGCCGTTCCTAACCAGGATGCGAATCGCGCAGGACGTGGTTCAGGGCATCCGATTTTTGCACTCTCAGGTGAGAAGACGCTACAATTCGGAGGTCTATTGCGGCCGACCAGCTCCCCGCCGTGTATCGGTCTCGTCTCTAGTGGATCAGCAGAAGGAATGGTTCCATCTCTCTTTCTTCGACAGGGTCTGGTCCACCGAGATATAAAGCTGAAGAATGTACTGCTGGATAATGATAATCGAGCGAAAATCACCGATCTCGGTTTCTGCAAGCCGAATGCGATGATATCCGGTTCCGTCGTGGGTACTCCGATCCACATGGCACCAGAGCTGTTCAGTCAGAAGTACGACAACCGAGTGGACACCTACGCTTTCGGAATTCTGTTCTGGTACCTGTGTTCTGGAAAAACAGACCTGCCGGCGAAATTCGCAGACTGCCCCGACAAAGACGCTCTTTGGTCCAGTGTACGCAAGGGATGCAGACCGGAAAGGTGAGAGTGAGAAGCTCCATGACAGAATAATCATGCCATTATCCCGCTCCCGAAGCGAGAGGGACATCATATTTGGATGAGTCATCATGGGAATCTAATTGGGTTCTGCTTCCAGACTTTATTGTTTCACTCAGCCCTGTTGGGACCTGATGACCGAATGTTGGCATCACGATCCTGATAAACGGCCACACTTCGGCGACGTTGAAAACCGTATCGTCGCGATTGTTAAAGCTCACAAAGCTCAAGGACGTCACCGCGACTCACTGGAAACGATGTGGAGCGCGGAAGAAGCCACGGAACATACCTGGACTCCGTTAGTGCACTAGGCTCGGACATCGAGAAACCGTGAGAATAACGGAAAGCCAATTCTGAAAGTGTGTTGCTCGAAGGGCTTCGTGAACGAAGTTCGCGACTTAGAGTTCATGTCTTCCGATGGGTCTCAGACTCGCTCGGGCCGGTGGTCCCGAAAATTCGTGTCACCTCCCTCGAGATACTCCCGGATCGATTCTTCGGATCGGCGACGTGCATCCCATACAATAATGATGACCGCTCCTGATGGACGAACGCTGTGTAGTCGATCTCCAGAAAGGTTGTGCTCTCCAATACACCATGGAGTTTCCCAACCGTGGACCGAGAACGTGTCGAAGTCCTGCATGGCTGAGCAAAACACAGCTCTGTCCGAAGCGACCGAGGGTCTTTCATCCTTCTGTTTTGTAAATCGAAGTATGACATTGGCAAAGTGTTCCAATTACGACGACTTCCCGGAATGATGCATCAATGTGACGATGGTTTTCTATAGTAAGGTCTCGTACCTCCCGTGTAAATATGAAGAATTGCGAGCTTTTATTTTCCAATAAATAATATTTATTACTCTTTCGAAGCGAGACTTATTCCTCCATCTATGATCTCGACCTGGCGGAGGACGCCGTCTACTCTGCGAAATTCCCTGGACGTTGCGCGACTCATTCAGAGGGAAGCACAGCATCATAGAAAAGACTGGGTAGCAGAAAAACGTCGGAACAAAATTGGCAGACGCGCCGCAGCATCAGGAACTTCGGTCCAAGCCAATGAATCTAGTCAGCTGTATTCGATGGGAAAGGCTCCTTGATAATCGCGTCCAGCGATTGTCACTCTCGATTATTTGACCAGCGCAAGGGGTACCGTACCCTGACTAGGGTCGGAAACTTGCACGCCTCCTTGTTTTCGAAAGCTTACACTTTTTATTGAACAGCGAATTACAACCGTCCTGGAGCCAGGTGCCCGCTTCCATCCTGCGCGAGGCTCCACCAAGAGAAAGAATCCGGTTTTTACTTCGACGCTCAGTCAGAGGAGGAAGGTTCGGTTGAACCATGCCGAGAGAGCTCCGAAGAGGGGTACGGTGCATCTTATCAGCGCCGTTCCGTCTTCGTTCGGACAGTATTGTTCGTGATCGGCATTAGTCACGTAACACCTCTTGTAAAATTGAATTGCTCGTCCATCTTGATTTTGGAGCTTTTTGTGATTGATGAAAAAATATTTCTTTTTCTCTAGAGGGAGGAATGTGCTCTCCAAACGAGCCGATCCATCGAAGTTCCTGTCTTTGCAGTTCCTACCCTCCTCGAGACCACAAGACTTGTGGCGAATGTAACCGCCGTACGGATCGTGCTCAATGCGAAAATCGAGTGATTTGTCGTACGTTTGCAGAAACGTCCAATCTTTCGCGTGAAGCATCATCATCTCGAGTGTGATATTTGTTGTGGATTCGAGAATCGCAGTTATTGTGTCGAACGGCTTATCGATGGGCATTTCAAAATGTGATAAGAAAACATAGCCGAATGCATCGAACTCTTGCAGGAACTTCAGGGCGATCACATTGACATATCTTCTGTCGAGGGTCAGCAGACCGAAATAGATTCGCGATCGGTTGCCGCATGTTTCGAGGTTCACGCGGAAATGCCAATGATCATGGAATTTGAAGCTCGACTTGAAGAGCGCGTCGATTAGAAGGTTCTGGTGCTTGGTTTCTTCGACCAGAGAATAGAGCTCGGTATTCTTCATGAACGATCGGAGGTTCGTCGATGCTTGAGAAGACCGAGCTTCGCACCAGACCCCTCCGATGTCTGGAAAGGAAATCGTTGGTGAGATAGGCTAGGAGTTCAAGCCCCTCGTGCTGCTCTCGATAGGGAACACTGACACCTCAGCTTTCTGACAAGTCTCCGTTCAGGGTCCCTCCCCGAATTTCCGCCAGAACATGCCCTTGTTGCGTACCGTCGTCATCTCTTGGATGGAAATAACTTCTGGGCCTCGTGATCTCTCTCACTACGAAATAAATCACTCCGAAAGTTATGAGCGAAAGCAGTGGATTGCGGAAGATCCGATCGGGTGGCTTAGGCGGCTTAGGTGGCTCTTTCGCGCTCGGAGC